TGGTCATTTATAGTGTGTTGCACATTATATGCCACTCAAATATAGGTAAGCATACAGTATGTTAAGTAAATATAATGCGCAAAGTAAACAGGACCTTGGACTGGGTTTGATTAGCTGGGATGAGAGGGCAAAGTCTCCCCAGCAGAGGGTTTACAGCACTGATGAAAAGTGCTTCAACCAACAGTGCCACAGAGACAGAATGGACTTTATACCACCACATATTGTATGCTTAAAAGGTGCTTTAATTCTTTTCTTATGTGAAAAGATCATTTTCTGCAATAATGTTTCAAAAATGGTGATTAATGTTCTGTCTCTTTTGTTGAAACTTCCCTTCACACAGCTGCTGTAAGATAGTATTCACTGACACAACTGCGATTACATTCTGTTTAAACATAAGTGTGTTTGCAAATGCTACCAGTAAATAAAAGTAGTTTTCTTTGTGTCAGAACATTTTGTCTCAGAACAATGGAAATCCTCTAAATAAACTCCAGTGAGATTAGAAGAGTTGTTCAGATGCATGCTGTAACACAACAAACCAAAAAGGGCATGGTCACAGAGTAGACAGTTTTTGCTGCTTGAGATTAATATAATAACTGCTCTACTTAACTGTTATTTACACAAACAATGAACACTTCTGTTATATGTTGATGTTGTGATTTGTGCAACATATATTTGCCATTAGACCAGGGTGGCAGAAAAAAATCTCTGGGCAACCAACTGCAACAGAGTAAAAATAGATTCCTGGTCTATCTCAATCCCAGCTGAAATTTCACTCAAATACTTGACATGTTGCAACAAGTTGAGAGCTGCCATTAGTTACATATGTTCCCCTGTTGCAGGATACTGTATTAGATGTTTTTGGAAATATTTCCAGATGTCCTGGATGTTGTAAAATCTCCAGACAGGTAGCTTGACCCTGTCAGTTTCAACTGGTCATTCATCTTTCAGTAATAAAACCTTAGGTAGTTTTTTTTTCCAAACTATAAGAAGAGCTCCACCCTTTACTTAAAGACCAAGTCACATTTGGTTCTACCTTAAAACTTGCAAAACAAACAAACAACAATGACAGAAAAAAAAACATTGTGTGCCTTTGTCACAACAAGCACCTCCTCCTCTGCTGAATGAGAAACTGTGTCAGTGGAGCAGCTCCTGCTCTCTGGATTGTGCCACCCAGCTGACTGGCAGCTAAGGCGACGAGTCAGACACAGTTGCTTGTTCAGCAGCCAATTGGAGAGCAGGAGAGATCATCACACTGCTGCCAAGACAACCACCATTGAATGAGCTTGTTCATGGAATGCAGCCAGAGCGTGGTTATATAACAGGCTGAAGGGAGGAGGTAAGGCGCTAGAGGGGGAGCGATGAAGCGAGCAACAGAGAAAGAGATTTTTTTTTCCATTGCTCTTTATTTATACCCCTTTGTTGCATTTCATTGGCCA